TTATGTCTTTCCTAATCGAATTGATCTAGATAAATTATTCGATTTCAAAAAATCTCAATGTTTTTTCTTTTTTTTTACAAAGCTTATGATTTATCTCCAAGTGGAGAAGGTCTTTATAAGCCACCATCATTTAAAGATAAACAACAAATAAGTTGTCGTATTCGTCAAAAATTTCAAACTTTAATTGCATCAGCTGTTGCAAATACAGAAGGAGATGGTAACAACACATATTTATTATTAGGACCTATTGGAACTGGTGCATTTGCTAATGATAAACAAATGATAGCTGAATTATTTTTTGAAATACTTAATAATCCATTCATGAATTCAAAACAAGCAATACGATATGCATTTGAACAAATATGGTTTGTATCTTCGAACAGTCTTCATACATTCGAAAAAGTATTTAAAGAAAGTCAAACGCGTTTTTGAATAAACCACGATTAAGATTTTATATATGTTAATTTTATTAAATAAAGAGGAAAAAAACCGATCCTACAAATTACATTTATTTATTTATTTTGTTTTTTTTTGTGCAGAAAGATAGTACTAAAATTTTAATAGTTTGACATAAGAAAAATTTAAATATATTCTGTTGTATAATATTTATTGGCATCTTTTTGTAATATCACGTGTAATGGGTTAAATGGGATTGGATGATATGATGATAATTGGGTATCATCGGATAGAACAATTGTTTCAATATTATTTGATTCTTGAATAACTAATGGTTGTTTTGTTATTATCGATGTTCGTTTTGATTGTAAACCACTACCATATAATGTTGCATCACTTTCACTTGACGCTATATCAACTAAATGAGGATAAGCACTTTGAACAGTATGATCTAAAAGAATTTCTTTTTCTTCATTTTCATTTGTTGATAATGAATTTCTTTCAACAACATCATTTGAAAAGATAGTAGCAGGAGATATTGTTGAATTTTCAGTTAATGGATTAACAACAACTATTGATGCTGATTCTGATGCATCAGATAAAATATTAGTATGAATTTTTGATGGATTAGGTGTTGATAATGATACAGGTTTTGATACAGGTGTGATATCTTCACTTAAATCAACACCATATATACCACTATCAACTGCAGTTAATGTTGGTTTAGATGGTGGAACTTCAGTTTTTGTTAAACCGGGTTTTGTACCTGTTGATGCAGAAGATTTAAATCGAGATGTACTAACATCAGATATTTGTACTGTTCGTTCAGGAACTAATCTTTGTTTTGTTACATTTGCAGATGTATTATTTATTTTTTCAAGAAGTGGAGCTTTATCAGATGATTTAGCTGTTGGTTTAGATGTAATAGTATTATTAGTTGTTGAAGGTACATTTTTCTTTCTAGTATTAGATGGAGATGAAGATCGACGTCTAAAAATATTAATTTTAGTTGAGAAATTTCTGTTTTATCCAACGTGTGAATTGCGAACGGCGGTGCCTCTTCGAAAATCAGATTGGTTCGCTTCCGAAGTTTGTGGTTATTGTACTAGCGAGGAAACATTTTCAACTGATCGATTACTTTTAAATTCGAACTCTGTGTATAAGTTAGACTTCAGTGAGATAAGAAAAACTCCAAAATAATAATTTGCCATAAGGCATTATGTCCAGAGTTATAAGTATTTTACTAGAATTTTTAGCCTCTAGCATGATATATAGAGAAAAGTCTAATGACGGTATTTCGACCTGAGATTTTTTTCCACAGATAAGTCTATTTGTCAGTAAAATGTCCTGAAAATTTCAGCTCAAAAGAATGTTTCCTTTCCAAGATATTAAAGTCCTATAAAATTACTCGTATTCCATGGAAGATGCTAGAATTTTTTGTTTTTTTTTGAGACTGTAATACTTCGGTAAGGAAACACTCTTGTGAACTGAAATTTTCAGGACATTCTAATAACAAATAGACTTGCCTATAGGAAAAATGTCAGATCAACATACCTTCATTAGAGTTTTCTTTGTATATCATGCCAGAGGCTAAAATTCTGGTAGATGATCTATAACTCTCGACAGATGTATCTTTTGGAGATGTTTCAAATTTCACTGGAGTCTACCTTATGCGTAGAGTCCGAATTCAACAAGCGATTGAGCAGTAGAAAATGCTCCTTCGTAAATTTTATGTTTCTGTGGTTCCCAAAATATATGTTCGCTCTTCTGGAGTTTGAAAAATCGTCTGTTCAAAAGAGAAAATCTCGATATAACAAATCGTCAAGGACAAATCTATATTTGACATAAGAAATGAACAGGAAATTGACTATGAGACGAAAGGATCAAGATTTACGAAAGATTAAATCGATAATGTGAAATCAAATTATATATATATATATATTAAAGATAATTATTAGCGAGGCATCATTTCATAGAGTTGGATTTGATTGAAAAAAAAAGACTAATTAGATTAGATTCTCGCATGTTCTTTCTCTCGAGGCATGTCAAGTTGAATGTTCATCAACTAAAGAAGAAAAAGCGATCTTAATCAATGTAATTAAATTTCAAGAATCTATGTATTATTCAAATTTTTGAGTTTAGAACGAGTGATTTTCGAATTACACAAAGGAAATAGACAAATTCAATCATTGGTTAACATCATTCTAACATAAGAGCAAAAATTCAACTTCAAAATCTCATCAGTTTTTCTTTTTCTCTTGTCTTCATCTAATGAACATCATTAGAGTAATAAAAGCACTAATTTAATTCTCTTTTTCCCTCTTGTACTTAATATCTACTCAATTTGAAATTATTCCATCTATATTAGCATTATATAGATACAAATTTTTTTCTTTATAAATTACCTTTTAATTAATATAAAAATAAGAATACCAGCAAGTATTGCAATCAGAAGAACAATTACAACAGCAATAATTCCAATAAGAATTCCTATAATAAATTTTCATTAAAAAAAATATAACATATCTTTTTTTTAACCTTTTTTAAATGTTTGTTTTGTTAATGTTTCATTAACGTTTTTTACATCACTATTGTTCCATAATACATTGATAGTTTTGGTTGACATAATAGTTGTTGTTAGTATTGTTAATGAAGATTTATGTTCTTTGATTAATGAATCATAAACAATTCCATCGGAATTATATTGAGAACGTGCTATGACTGGAACAACTAATTAAAAACATAAAAAAAAAAGGACTTCTATGAGAATATTCTATTATAATTAGACTACCTCTATATCGAATTTTAAAATATCTTGGATCTCTAGAAACAGTTGTTTGTAATGACATATATAAAGAATTTGATGAAATAAGATAACGTGCATTAGGTAATGGATTATTTACTGAATGATCAGCACCACACCATGTATGATATTCTTTCCAATTATTATTTTTATTAATATTATTTTCATTAAATGATGGATCATAACCGAATATTTCAATATATTCTCCTCGACATTTAATGGCTTCTTGTAAATGTACTTGAATTGGAGATAATTCAATATACATCGATGGATCAGCTTCTGAAAAAAAAAA